CTACACTGACAACACAGATCATGATCAGCCATTTAGGTTTTACAGTTATCAAACACGCTTATGGTACATAGGCAATGTGTGCATGATGTACCCTTTACCAGTACAGCACTGTGTACAATAAACTAAATTAAACTTCCAAAAAGCATGGAGATGCGTTGGTTGGAATTACGTTGCGAGATAGAATGAGGACCGAGGACTGGGGAAGAAACGGAGATTAAATGACAAATTCAAATTATTAAGAAAATCAAATTGGCTTGGGCATGATGTGTCGCAAGGATTGATGGCTGACGGTCAAGAATAATGATGGAATGGCAGCCAAGGCAGGCACTGTCCAAGAGGTCGTCTGCTGCGGAGATGGAGCAATGAAATCAACTCGTGTGTATGTGGATTATTACTACATCGCACGATTATAAGAGATGGCGATGACTTGGGTAGGCTTTCATCAGGCATCTCAATAATGGCTGATGATGACGAAGATAAGGGTGATAAAACGCAACTGCTTGAGACGTTTTCGGCCGACAAATAAAATTTAACTTCGGCGTGTGCACTAATTCTGCCTGCTACGTGTGCAGGAAGCCACTGAGAAAGATCCCCGAAAGCGGAATGTGAAACGGCAAAAAGTAGACGAGACGCAATTAATGAGGATAATGTGACGCCGCTTAGTAATATCGGACAATCCAGTGAGCGCAGGGGCTGCAGAGGCAATGTGTAGGGATCCCGTGGGTGAACGGCTTTATCATTTTAATTAATATGAACTGCACGCACACTATTCTGCTGGTGAATGAAAGCATTACCACACTGATGTCACCACGATCCCATCACCAAATCCCACGCGGACGCCATCGCACGCTGTTCCTTCCACTTTCTATATCATTAATGTAATTTTTTAAATTAAATTAGTGTTCAAAGAACAATTTTTACATCTGGCCTCTCGTCACTTGCCTCTTAAAATAAAAAACCAATTCTATTTTACGAGGCAAGGCCCACTGAGCTTTTTTTCAGAAGCAACCTAGCCACAAATGATAGCTCAATGAGGTGGCCTTATCATGTGCAAATGTATAGAAGCAAAATATTCGAAACACATGTTGCTAGATGTGGAGGAAGAAACTGGAGGACCCGGAGAAAAATTCAAGCGACCACAGGGAGAACATGCAAGCTCAAAATAAACAGGCATCAGGGTCGGGATCGAACCCACGACCTCCTACGTACCAGGAATGAGAGTTAACATCTCGCCACCGTGCCACCCCTTGTTTATATTGCTCTTTTTTTACTGTAAATCAACAGTAAGGCAAGTTGTGCACAAATCAAATTGTGTCGGTCACACCTGGTGGATACACTCTTGCAGCAGCGTTGGATACATTCTTGCAGCAGCGATGGCGTGATTGTTTTATGAACTTGTTTTCAATTTTAAAAACAATCGCATATTAAATTGAGAGATGGAAAAGAATGGAAGGTTCAAAGTACCTCATTGCCTCGTGGCAATTCTTGCCTAAAACTATACAGCAAAAGGGAAAGGCTTACCTCATACCACGATGGCAGAGAAGCCTCCTCGAGAGAGGCCCGCTAGAGGGCATTTGGCCTACATTTCCATGCTGCTCAGACGTCAATGGAAGAGGTGCTTATTACCCACAATTTACCCCCCCCCCCCCGTGACACGTGACCTCCCAATCTACTGTCGCATAACCATTTATAACTGCTGGTCTAGAGGGAGACATGGGGGTTTTAAGAAATTTCCTACTGTTTTAACTGCCATACCGGGAGATCAAATTTTATCCAACCTGCGATCTCTAGATTGCAGGTCCAGTGTTAACCCCTTACACCACGGCAGCGTCCCTCATGCAATACGTTACCTATATTGCGAATTGATGTACACGGCTCTCTTTTTTAAACATTCTCCAGTGCTACGACCAACAACGAGGCTCGAGCAGGCTTTCACCGTTTGAGCGAGAGAGCCCGGCAGACCATAGCACTTCTAACTCTGCAAACAGCGTTTATTTGTTTGTTTTTTACCATTACCGAATGCAACACACGGATGCACCCCACTCATGTATATTACAAGACTACATTTCAAAAATGAAATAAACTAGGAGGTGTGATCCATCCATGGATGACGGGGGGGGGGGGTTGCAGCACCAGGCTTACATAATGAAACATTAGTGTTTTCATTTTCCCCACTTTTCGAGCCGAACCGAATTGGCCGAGTGTCTATACAAACCGTAGTTAGGAAATGAGGTCAAGGTAGGAAGCACAATGGGTTTGAAAGATAAAAAAAAATCGTGTACCATTTGCCAGGAGAGGGAAATTAAACACGAACTGGACAATTGCTTCAATAAAAATGTTTGTCACGAAATATTAAGGTGGGCACACATGTGAAGAATGTATTTCTTCAATCAAGGCATTGTTTTGTAATTTTTATCTCACTAAAGACAGTAAAATGTGAACGCAAATTAAATATCACAAAACGAATTTAACAAAAGAGCATTTTCTCAATTATGTATTCGTGAGAGTATTTTTTTTACAACATTTTACTTTTCATATTTTGTTCTCGGTTTACTCTCAATAGCTGCCCTAGATAAACATACTTCTGATGTGGTCCCTGTTGTGTTCCTCCAAACAGATATCTCCAGCTTAGTAAATAAAGAGGTGAGCAAGAGAAAGTTTGGACGGCTTCGAGAAAACTGATCATGATCGTGAAAAAGAACTCAAACACGTTCATCACTAACACTGCAGGCTGAAAATAAAAAAAATATGATAGGCGATGTTTCAGGCAATGACCCTTCATCAGAGCACATGTGCTTTTAAGACAGTGTCAATGACAAATGTGTTGAGCTTTGGTTATTTGTCCTTGTGCACAACTGCCAACGCTCAAGCCAAATCCCCACAAAAAACAGGCACTGCATTTCATCCCGATAATAGGAGTGCCAAGTACACTCTGAAAGTGACCTTCTGCGGTAACACTGTGCGACACGACCCCACTTCAACCTATCTTGGAGTGAAGTTGGACCCATACCCCCTAAACTTCCACCTGAAAAAGGAAGCCGCCAATACCAAAAAAGGGCAAACCTGGTCCAGAATCTGGCAAGCACAAGCTGGGGAGCATTAGCACCCATGGTTTCGACATCAACGATGGCCCTTGTGTTGCCGAGTACTTTGCACCAGCATTGACCAGAAACAGTCAAACTCGACTTGTTGATGTGCAACTGAACACTGCAACGGGGTGCATGACTGTAAACCCCAACACCCTGGGCTGCCCCCGTGCTGTCACACATCTCTCCCCCACCCATTCTCTGCGAATAGAGGAAAACAGTGGCCTTCCCATTCATCAGCACCTCAATTTCATCCCTAGTCATCGCTTGAAGTCACGCAAGTCCTTTTGGACCCATGCTCTTAACCTGAAACAATGAGAATTCAACCCCAATGAAGCTTGGAAAGCGGAACGGAATTCCAAAGAACTCGCACACAAACACCTTGTAAAAGACCCAACGCAGAAGATCACTGGTTTTGATCTTCCACGAAGCTCATAGTCCACCCTAAACCACATCTGCATTAATTACGGCAGATGCACAAATGGAAAATTAAAAACACTCGAATGTGCAACTGTGGTCATCCAGAACAGACCATAAAACATGTTGCTGGATGGATTGTTGCATTGTGAGATGGTGATGGATGGCATTGGCTGGGGCAAGCCGTCATCCAGCAGTGGACTGATCACGGCCAATAACAATTATATATTTTTTATTCAACGGACGACAACAGACGAGGCACGTACAAAAGTACCGTACTGTATGCTGTTGTATACCAAGGCAATGACAACAGTCAGTGCGACAAATTTATTCTAAGAAGAAAATTAAATGACCCCTCCCTATTCTTCCAAGTAATTGTAGTGTTGTAGTGAGTAGAATTGGAAGGAAATATATAATGTCCGTGAATCCCATTGCTTTTATTCCCCAGTTATAATGAGATGACCGGGGGATAATATACCATCCTCACACAGCATAATATAGGGGCTTACTACACCTGGCAAGCAATTTCATTACAAAGGAGGAAAAAAAGAGAAGCCAGACAGTCTTGGACAAGCTTCGCTGGGATAAAAGGTAGCAAAGCACACGGTGGGGGGGGGGGGGAGCTTTTTGATCAATAGCTTGGCATTTTGAAGTGAAGGACAGACTTCGCATTCACGTATCGCTTGCTAATTTCCACCTTTTTGTCCCCCCCACCAACCTCAATATCCGAATCGTACTGTGTAGGGTCGTAGAGCAATATTAACAAAATAAATTAATTAAAATCCCGACAGTAAATTATCGGCCTATAAATTATGCAAGCATTGCGCAGGCATGGCTTATAATGGGGCGAAACAGAAACATGTCTGTGGACAATAACACAGGCAGAAGGGCTAAACAAATACGAAACGGGAGAGAAAACAGCAAAATGTATATACAAATGGGGGCCTGCTGTTTGTATGCTGGATGAAACAGCACTCGGAGGAGGAAAAAGCAATTCAAGTCGGAAAAGAGATTCTGTTTTTGGGCTCACACAGATTGTTTGCTGGATAGGGCATCTTCTCAGCACAGCATACAAAGCAGCTGGATGCTGCTGCTGCTGCACAATAGCACTTATCTTTACAAATGACATGAGGTTGCAGAAAATATTTAAATGTGTTTTCGGAACGGAACGTGTAGGTTGATGGTAGACGACTGTGTATGAATGTACTGTATTTTTCTGAAATCAATGTAAATTACAGTTCTTTGTAGTACCCGTTTTATTTAAAGAATAAAGGCCAATGCCTGAAACGTCACCCATGACGTTTTCCTTCACAGCAGTGTTGTTGACAAAAATGTGTTGAGTTTGGGTTATTCGTGCCTGTGAACCACTGGCAATATAGCACAAATACATGTTTTTAACGTTTTTATGGAATAAAATGAGTCAAATTTGCCAAATGCTAGACAACTTAAAATGTACGGCAAAAGCATCTGACCATTGAGCGTTCTGTGCATACTCACGTATTCCCGGACATTTTTCGTCCTCACAGCTTTGTAGGATGAATACGCTGGGTACAATATGCCGAACATCAGCCTGCAACAACATGCGGACAGAGGATGACAAAGCAGCAATGCATTTTGCACGTGAAAATAAGAGCAGGATATTTAGGATTACAATATGAATACATTGTTTTTTTATTCTGCAAAACAACAACACCAGCATACGAAACAATTAATGGGACTTTTATTTCATAGAAAATTGACTCATTGTGAAAAAATTGCAGCCCTTCATTGATCATTCATTGACGAAAAGGCATTCCAAACGTGATAGCTGGAGGCGACTGCCGGTCTGTTTTGTAAACGTTACACGCTCCATCAGTTGCTAGGAAACGAGGCCAAAGAGGAAAAAAAACACACAATGGGAGAATGGTTTTTCAAGTCCCAAACGCTGGCTTTTCCTGTCTCACCAGTTTTACAGGATGGAAACGACTGGTCGATTCCACCCTTTTCTGAACAAGCACCAACACACACCACCGTCTTTAAACAACGGGATTATACCATGCTTGGCAACGAATTTCATATTTGGGCTTCACACAGCACACCAAATATAAATTTAACCGGCTCGCATTGATTGGCTGTGACCACGGTCGAACAGGCCAGAGTCTGCTGCCGAATACAGCGGCATGGTTATCCGTTATTAAGCATGTGACTGTCAATGTATTGCTCAACATCTATTCTTACACACAAGATACGTGTATGGAATTGGTGCTTTGTGAGAACGTTATTTAATTTGTCAAATTGGTTACAAATGTATAAGCTTAATTTAGATTAAGGCTTACAAAGGCAGAACCCGTGAAAACGAGATGAACAGAGAAACTATACAAACGAGACCGTGATTGAGATCTAACATAATCGATTATTTAATAAAATCAGGACCTGCATCGTGACAGATAAGTGAATTGTTAGAAGGGGGGGGGGGGTGAAAGGCTTTATACCTGCTAAGAGAAACTGCAACTCATTTTGGTACCACATTGGAATCTCGATCACCTAAGTATGTGTCTGGCTGGTTTCGGTTAGATCCATGCTGCACTATTTTAGCCCGGGCAGTAGGTCAGGCAGGACATGTGAGCACGGTGTCCATTTGGATGCACTTGCAAGTATCAATTAAATAGTTTGGATTGTTCGTCGTTGCTCCACCTGTGACAGCCGATAAGAAGAAACAATGCAGCACGGAGTTACAGGCCATCTGCCCATCAGGACCATTGACCAGCAGCAAAGCAATTCCTCCGTTTACAGCCGAACTAAACTAAACTATGTTTGATTTTACCAGGTAAGGCCCACTGAGCTATGTATCTCTTTGTCAGAAGCAACCTGGTCACAAATGATAGCTCAACGAAGTGGCTTATCATACCCAAATTGACAGCAGCCGAAAACAGTAATCTAAACCAGTGGTTCTTAACCTTTACTGCAGCCTTGCACCCCTTTGGTTCTCAATTTGTATATTTTTTTTATAATACATATGTTTGATGAAACAAAGGAGTTGTACTTATGTGTCTCGTGCTTAATGTGTTTCGATGATTTACCTTCTAAAAAAATCTGGCATGTCTCGCAACCCCAAAAAAGGGAATCTCGCACCCCAAGAGCGTGCGTGCACCCTAGGTTAAGAACCACTGCTCTAAACGCATGTTTTTAAATGTAGAGGGAAAAACCGGAGTAGCTGGAGAAAAGGCCACACGACCACGGGGAGAACATACAAACTCCAAATATACAGGCGTCAGGGTCGGGATCGAACCCATGACCTCCTGCATATCAGGCAAGGTAGTTAACATCTCGTCACAGTGGCGTCAGTGCCGTCGACTGGCAAAAGAACCCAGACATCAATTTCGAACATTTGTTGAAGTCCATGGATTAATTGCACCATGTCAATTATCATTATTGTTCCAAAATCAGTCACTTATCTCTGCAAAACGCAGTACGAAAGAATACGTTTCAACATCTGCTTCCGGGTATGGCAGTGACACACGGGGAATAAATGTGGAAGCGAGAGAGAAAGAAAATAGAGGGTTCAAGGGCTCCGGAGGGATAGCACTTTTCACGGGGATTGTGGAACATTTAACCTCTCCGCTAGTACTGGGTCCTTCTAACCCAGGGTGAGAACAAGTGCAACCCACAAACACTCGTCCTTAAACTTCTGATCTAACCAAGACCGTCCGATGCCCCTTGTTCAAGGTGATCCTGCCGACACAAAGCACGGCAGATCTAAAAAAAAACATCCTCGATAACAAACAAAGGGGCGGGGGAGGAAGACAATGGCAGAGGATGATCGTGGTTAGTGGATGCCAACAGCGGATATGGCAGAAGAAACATCTCCTGTCATCAGAGCTGGCCAACTGAGCTTAAAGGAAAGGTTAATAAAAAAAATCAAGTGGCTATGCCACCAGTGTAGAGAAGAGCAGAGAAAGACCTAGAGTGGAGATATAATGATGTGGGAACATGGGATACGAGGACAGTGCATGTGACAAGAGGAGAAGCACAGAATAGCCGAACATGAAGATAATAAATCTGAGAAGCTGACCTCATGCGGTAATGGGACTTTTGGCTTAGAAGAAGAGACTGGAGAAAAAATATCAGCATTTGACATCAGGCCATATAGCTGGATTGCAAGAGGCTATTCAGCCAAAACTTGGCATTTGTGCACGAGACAATGACTTGTAGACCACTCAAAATAATGTTGCAGGTTACACCAGGTATGCATTTGCCAAGGCACACAATTACCAATGGAAAATATTGATCTTTATTTTTTGCTAAAAGCTGCCTTCTTTCTGAAAACGCTTCTGAGTTTATTATGTTGTGAATTTATATTTGCAGCAGAGTTGTTTACAGACACTGCACTGTACATGTATTTATGGGTGGAGTGGTGGTGCAGTGGCTAACCCACTGCGCTACGAACTAGGCAACCAGATTCCCGGCCACAGCTAACATCAGGAGGAAGTATTATCTGAACCGGTCATGGGCACTCTTTCACCAACCTGCACTGACCAGAGTGGTAAAGTATGGTCAAACAACCCCCAACGACTAACATGACATGGGGTTGGGAGGTTTTAACCAGCAGCAGTATGACAAAGGACTGTTTTTATCATAATTAAATATATGTATTCATAAACCACCTCAAACCACACAAACCTCACTATTGCCAAGTACGAAAGCATTACACTTGTTTACCGTGATAGGCATGCATTGAAATGTGAAACGGTATAAGCTTACAGGCCGTTTTCACCCTAGAGGACAAAACTATTTTGGTCTGGATAATTTTGTCACATTCAGCAATGAGAAACCGTGGTTCAGATGTCACTGTGGCCAGCACCCTCACAACTACAGCTATTTGTGGAGACGCATAAAACACAAGTATGTGGTGCCATGCTGCAGCACCAAATTAAAACGCCCGCTTTAACGTGGCATGAGTCAGGGTACGGAGACCGTAAACCAATTATAAAATGTGCAGGAGTTACGACGATATCTGTCGCCGCTTCCGTGGAGAGCGAGGCAATTACTTTAATACATTTAATTTTAATAATACGGTTTAAAATATGAGTTTTTCGGTCAGCCTCGATGATGGCCAATACTTTTTTTTCTGAGAGTCTCCCTCAGGGATCTTTAAGCAATTCATCGAGTATTTTTTTGTATGTGGGAGAAAACCTGAGTGGTTTCAGATATCTCCCCTGCCAACAGGACAATAACTGCAGAGATAGGCTCAGCAACCTATGATCTGCACAGCCTCCGCAAGGATATAATTTCCATTCAGTACAGCTCAAACTATGGGTACAAAGTAAAAAATTATAGGCACGTGCCACCAAAGGGTTTGGTTTGTTTAAACTTACAATGCCAATTTATTTTAATTCATGCTCAGGCCTTTGTCAATGTATTGCTGGATAAAGGCCTCCCCCACCCCGTATTGGTCATTGAGGTTATTCGATCATACCTCACCCTCCTGGTCAATATGCGTTGGTGAAAGACAGGGGGCTCAGGACTGCTGTAGATATTATTCGGCACTGATAGTAGCTTTGGCCGGAATCAAAATCCCATAGTGCCAGGACTTAATCCCCCTATTGTATGTCAAACAATTTACATTATAGATGATAATTATCCATGGGTGGATTATCTGGGTTGCGGATTAGCCGTGCGTGCCAAAAAGAAAATGACATCCAGTACAGGCGAACAGCTCTTATCCGTGGCCCTATTACCCATGCTTCCTGTTATCTGCGACAGCTGTAGGGTCCAAGAAAACTCCGATTATATCTGCGGCCCTATTTCTTCCTATTATTCGCGATTTAACCCAAAATACAAAGCGAAGCAGCTTCGTAATATTCACAATTTTTCACGGATAAAAGTCACCACGCGGAAAATTGATGAGATTATCCACAGGGTTATTTGTGATAAGAGGAACGCAATCGCGGATAGCCCTGTGGGGAATAGGATCGATGATATTGGTCCCCTATATCACTGTGCAGGTGCCGGTTTAATAATCATTAGCTGCTCCTCAACCGTCTGGTGCCATTGACTCGGTGGCCATGTGACAAACGTGTTGTCGGTAAGTAAATCGTTTAATTTTAAACCCAATAAAAACAGCTGACACACTTCTCAGTCTTGACCCACTATTCTTGCCAAGTAAACAAAATGTGTTTTTTTTTAAGTCGACTATAACATGTTAGTCATTTTCGGTGTTGCTTTTTTTTTTATTCAGGCCACCCTTCCACCACCACACCAAGGCCAACTCCACGAACATTCCAGCTGCCTAACGTATACAATACAAGACAGTGTAATCTGCATTTCGCCAACTCTCAGACAAAACAACTGATTGGGCTAAATCGCTTACAAGCCATCACAGAGAGAGAGCCTAGAGAGTTGACTGGAGCATATATTTAAAATAAAAATATATATAAACACTGTACAGGGTTTTATTCAGCGGCAGACGTTTCGGAAGCGTGCGAGTACAACAGGACTTTTCCCCAATGCAAAATACTTGGGAGCAGTGAGGACGACGCTTCAATCAATCTCCATGACCCAGGCATGCGCGGTAGGTCAATGGTAATATGC